TTCCCTTTATTTTTACCTGGTGAGCCTGCCAGGAACACACTTCCTGTCCTAGAGTGGCAATGGCCAGTGTACTATATCGCAGATGGAGCAGTGACGTCACCTTAAGCTGCTCTCCGTTTATTCCAGCGCAGTCCGAACGCCAGACGAGGCAAATTGCCTTGTCACTGATGGGCTCGGTTTACACCACCGCGTTCTGGGGTTGTGAGCTTAAAAAAAAAGTATGGCATGCAGTACTATTTTTTAAGCACACAGTGAAACGCAGTACAACCTCATTGCAGCGAGCCCATAGAACTGCATAAAATGTGACATTTTAATAAAGTTCTACAAAAAACAGTGCAACGCAGCTCAGTCAAACGCATCAGCACTGTTTTGGGGACACACGCACAGCATCAGCTGTGCAGTATGAACTTACCCAAAGACCACAAACTGCCCCCCCCCCCCTCTCCCACCCTCCTCCTACGGTAGGGACTTGTTTGGTAGTAAACAAGATAGCCGGGAAAGCTGATACCATTGTTTTCGGTTCAGTGTACAGCTAGTTAGTAAGCCGCAATATCTTACATTTTGTTCTTGGGTTTGCATGTCCTTTAAGTCATGTGGACCTGTTTTATTACATAGTGAAAGAAAATGTGTGTAACTCATGGCAACTAGAAATGAGCAAAACGCATTTCTTTTACTGCTCACCAGGATTTGCTACAGATTACTCAACCTCATAACTGCTTAGGGCAGGGGTAGCCAAACTCTGGCCCTTTAGCTGGGGTGGAACTACAAATCCCACAAGGCATTGCATGATTCTCACAGCCACATACATGACTCCCAGATAGAGATGCATCATGGGATTTGTAGTTTCACCAGAGCTGGCGGGCCAGAGTTTGGCTAGCCCTGGCTTAGGGTCTATGTATAAACCGTTCAGAATCATTTGCTCTATGACTCTCTGCGAACATTTGTTCTGTGTGAATAGAAGCAAAAACCAACGTTCTTAATATATTTTCTTTTCAAGTCAAATGTAGTATTTCATTGCGTTCGACCTGAAAAGATGATCTACTAAGAACATTTGTTGTGGCCTCTATTCGCACAGAATGAATGGTCACAGAGATTTGCAGGTCCAACTGCTCTGCAAATTGTTTATAAATAGACGTTGCCAATTCAGATCAGTGTTGTATTATCATTGCAGTAAGACATTGTTGCATTTGTGTCAAATATTTCATTATTTAGAAGGATTGTCGTGGCTGCTGTTTTATTCCTTTTGTGTTAGTGCTGTAGAGCTCTGTGCTCTGTGTGAACTGAACCTGAAGGTTACACATGAAAATGTTAAATGAACTGTAATCATTGCATAACTCTGTAGGAATCTGGCCCTAATTTGCCGAGGTCAATGACCGTATATCATAATCTCAGTATAATTGTGAAAACTAGATTTTGCAGGTTTTTTATGGTTTTTAGTAAACAATCAAATAAGTGCATGTGGATTCCAAGTAAATTCTCTTCTCGGTTTCATTTCCATACATGCACCAGTGAACAGTTCACCGTGCTAACTGGCCTGCATTTTTGTATGATAGTATTAGAATTTATATTCAAATAAAACTTTTTGAAACGTTTTTGGGAACCATTTTTATTTGTCAGCAGAAACACATTTATTTAAAGGCAAGTTCAATTTTTTTATTGTCTGTATATATTTTGAGTCATTATTGTACCATATACTTGAACATAATTTTTATTCTTTTATGTCTGTGTTTTTTTTTTTTAACAAGAAAACCAGGAATATATACAGGGGATAAAGTGTACTTGCCCAGTGCTTCTGTTTTTACATTTGAGGGAGAGCAGTGCTACAACAAGACAAACTGCTTTACAATATCCATTGTGCTGGTGATCTAGGGACGTATGTTGGCCACTCATTGGAAAAGTCCTGCCTAAAAGCACGGCTATGACAGTACCTGCTGGTAACATTGGTAACCAGAAAAGCATCTTCTGTGTGCCCTGACCCTGGTTTGACTCTCCATTTAAGTCGGGTATATTCTGTTTGTTCAACCTGCCGGCTGAACAAAGAAAATAGAACAGTTTCCTCCATCAATGCTTACGAGCGTTGACCAAGGAATCTCTTTTTGTTTGTATTTTGACAGTGGCCGCTGTCAGAATACACAAACAGAGGCGGCACCTCATTGGCTGCTAGCTCTGTTCGGCCAACAATTTTCTAACTTGCTTCTTCAATCAGCTGATCTAGGGATGCTGGTCGGAAAGGTGTCGACAGCGGCACCCATGCATTGAATTTCATCTGGTTCTTGATGAAGTGTGTATACCCGTCTTTACGCAATTAGTCAAATAAAATGCGCTCCTTGAGCTAATGCCCACTCAAAAAGGGTTCCTCAGTGGGCAGTAAGGGTGCCTTCATTGACCAAGAAAGCAATAGATTTACATTTGTGAAATGACAATTATGTTACATTAAATGCTGCAATAACCTACCACACTTAATGATCCATTTCTCTACAGCAAAGTCCAAATCCCATTCGCACTGCCACGGTCTCAAAACCACAAGGTATATGTGGTGCCCAGGTGACCACACGGATGGCGCCGTGCAAAAGCACCGTATGACAGTATGGGACATTGGGTATTGAATAAACATATCAATACTTTAACAACCCTTCAAGTGTGTGCCGGTGAATTACTTTTATTTACATTTCTCTACAGGACACAAATGTTTTTTTTTATTGGAAGGGATCCATGTTGGAAGTTAAACATACAGTGCTACTTTCTTTTCTAATGTGTACATCATTTGGCGCTTTAGTGTCCTAGCCATGCTTCAGATTGTGATTGCCACTACTTAGGGTAACCTTTCATATGGGGAATGGAAATTGTCCTGCTGGCTGCTGCCATAGAATGAGGGTTGACATATCTGCCACTGTCTCTGACCGCCTTCTAGTAAGCTTTCCTATTTTTGGTATGTTGTTTCTATACAGTGTTCTGCTGGGAAAAAGAAAATGATATGAATACAAACATCTGCTCTTTTGTCCGACAGCTGTATCCTCACAGCATTTTTTATTTAAATAAATCCAAGTGGAATTCTGTCTAGCCATGGACCAAAATGTAGACTGTACAATATGGCTTTTATTGCCATAATAGACAAAAATGAATTGGCTCTTTTAAAGTCTGGGATATTTCATGTATGGTCAGCTAAGCTAGTCGCTCCTATCCACAGTATCTGGGTCTGTGTTGTAAACATACACTGGTCTGTTGGTTCAGCACATCGTTGACATAGGTAAGTTGACCCTGTGTAAGTTGGACTGCAGTTATCGGCATGTTTAGCCTAATTGTGGACTAATTAACCACCTGCTGTCCGGCCGTTGTAATTAAACAGCCGCACGGTGGCTTCTTGAATGCGGGTGGGCGTTTTTAAATGTCCTATCCCGCCAAGCTCATGCCCGCCGCACACGAGCAGAAAATCGGCTTGAAATGTCTACAAACAAGTGTATCTAAGAGACGCCCGATCGCTTGTATTATGCGTGCAGGTGTGCAGCCCCCCTCCACGTCCACCAATCCTGAGGTCCACTGTGGACCCGGGCCTGGCACAGTGGCTCTGTGAACGGAAGTCAGAGGTTGATCAGTACACGCTCTCCCTCTGAATGCAGGAAGTGATGTATATTACATCACTTCCGCATTCAGCTATCATTCCCGGCTTCATCAGCTTGTCTGGGGGTCCCTAGGTGACTTTAGGGGTCTTAGAGACTACTGATGTCTCCACAAAGAGGGCCTGTCACTGTATATTGGCTATCACATAGTGGGCTTCTTAGCCTACCTATGTGATGGCAATAAAGTTAAGTGAAAAAAATGAGTTACAAAAACAAATTTAAGTCGCATATAATAAAAAAATTAAAAAAAAACCCCACAAAAAATGTTTAAAGTTCCCCGCCCCCACATAAGCCTGCAAACATGCGTCGGGTGCGCCACATGCGAAAACGACCATTGCGCCGCACATGTTACATGTCACTGCGAATGTCGGAGCTTGAGCAATAATTCTAGGCCATCAATCACTGATAAGGCTAAACTGATGAACAGTAAAAGCTTTAAAGTGTCGCCTATGGCCAATTTTGGGGTATGGTAATTTTTTGCGATTTCGCGGGTATGCGCTCTTATGATATACACATACATGTTTTAGAGCTTTCCTTCCACTGCTTAGTATGTACCGGTTGTTTCAAGTTTCATGCCTGATGGTCATCTGCTCGGTTAACCTTTTGAAAGAAAAGACTGTGCAGTCATTTGAGGATTATGATGATACATGTATGTGGCTCTAGAATTACTGTTTATATTATTCCCTCCATGTTATTGGTTGTTAGTACATGTCAGAACTATTTTTATTTGTCAAAAGTAACATTTGCCACAAATTAGGCATCACAATGTGATGGAGTTTCTGGTGGTCCAAAATGCTTGTATATGGGAAATGTAATGTCTTACCAAGGTGTCATAAAAGCAATGTCAATTTAAACCTAAAAAAGCTGAAGTGTGAAAAGTGACCTCCAGGCAAACCAACTAAATACTTGATTTTAATCTACATGTGAACTGTCTTCTCTGACAAAGGATTTGGAATTCTGTCCAGCCACTTTTGCGATTTTATGCACCTTTTACCAGTCAACATGACCAGGAGCGTGACGGCGCATTCTTTGTTTAGAAATAAAGTGGGGTCACTTTCCTTTTTGCAGCTTTCTGATTGGACAGGTAAGCACAGCGTATGGCCACCTTAAAAGAAAAGCAGCACATTGATAAAACATCAACTGTTCACTTTGTGCTCCTCCTGTCAGCACATGCAGCACAGCATGGTTGGTGCCTAGTGCTGCCCTTCCCCGCCCGAGTCTCAGGCGCTTAACAGAAGGCGGATATCATGACCTGCTTCAGGTACTAATGGTGTTCTAGGCATAGATCCCCTATATGACTTTCAGTCTTAAAACATCTTAATCTGTTTCCAAAAATGTATTGACTTGGAGTGACCGATTTTTATATGTTTTTGTTCTGATCAGCAAATGCTCCAGACAACTGAAAACCTGAAGTCAGAAGGTGAAACCGAGAAGAAAGCATGTCAGGAAATGTCTGCAAAAATCCTTCAGCTTGAAGAAGACCTTTTGTCTGTGACTCAGAAAGCCATAGAAAAGGAAACTGAATTAGACAGGTACTGCTGAGCGTCTAGTGTGGTATAGGGGTTCCTCTGGGTATCTAATTAGGTTTATTTTTGGGGGAGGGATTTGTCCAAGGTACCATTAACACTGGCTGCAGAGCGCGTATCCCCTTGTACTGAGAGCTCTTTATTCAGACTACATTCTCACGTTTAGTTAGCTCATTTGTATTGAGATTGTAGTCCATCACAGGAGGGAGCTTGGAGCAATGGCTACTTTACAACACACACAGGGACCATGGGGAACAAAAGTAGCCACACTCCACAAGGAAGGACAGTGCCAGCACCAATTCAGAGATGATTTGATGATCTAGAGCTGAGTGATGGACAAATAAGATACATTTTTATTATTAAAGTACTTGCATTTTTATGATTGAATTCCTGAGTTTGGTATCACTTTAATAGAATATAGAACTTAATGCCCACTGCATAGGTTTCACCAACATAATTGCCTCCAGGCAAATTGTTCACCTTTTACCATGGCATAGGATTTAGAGCATCACTCCACATGCGTCTATCCTGGATAACATATTAATAAGATAAAATAGTAATAATACATGTTATTCTTTTTAGCCTGAAAGATAAATTGAAGAAAATGAAACTGGAAAGAGAGCAGTTGGAGTTTCAAGTAAAGAATGAGAAGGATGAAAAGGAATTGTACAAGGTAAGGCATATGTGATATCTGTCAGTCTATGTAAAAAGATGGCGTACTGTCATTGGCATCTGCAGGACATATTGACGCACATCTGATGTATATTAGGGGGCATGATGTAGCCTGCGAGTTTCTAGAGTTGTAAGAATGTCTTCTGGGAATACTATCTTAAGAATGCCAGCCAAATGATCAGGTTCAGTGCACAGCAACTGCACCCATCAAGGCAAAGGCACTATTTTAAACTCCACCCGCAGCTAGTCATCTCATCTCGTTGCAATTTACTTTTCCCAGATCTGAGTCGGCTATCTGCATGTAAATAGCAGCATATTTATATGACTGAGGTTTATATACGTTGCTTGTGCAATCAGTGGCCCCATAGTGCAACATGTAACATATTAAATCTCTTCTATAAAAGCATTCTATTAGTCTTTTAAACTGAATTCTTGTTTGTTTCCACTGTGTACATTTTATCCTTGCTATATTAAAATATCTGTGCCCATAAGTTACTAGTCCTAATTGCATTGCCTTTTGCCCATTTTGGTAACGATTCATTTCTACACTGCATCTTCATTAAAGGAGAACTATGAGGTGAGTGAAAATCACTCATCCTCATAGTTCGAGCCGACCTGTGACAATGAAATGGTCACAGGTCGGCTCAATAGATCGGGAAGAGAACGAACACATACCGTCGCTCACTTCTCGATCTATCCCTGCAAAGAGCTGTGACTGTCACTCACGGCTCCCTGCAGGGATTCCCTCCCCGCTCCAATCCTCTAGCACTGACTGGAGGAATGGACGGGGGAGGGGGCTGGTACAGCTGGCCCTGTCTCTAGATAGGCAGAGCCAGCTGTCGCTCACGCAGCTGGGTGTACCTCAACAGTATTGTTGGGATCCGTCCCGGCTGCGGCGGTCTCGGTATACCGTAAGCTATAGCTTGTATATGTCCTCCCATGACCCTAAAGAGAACTATGGGGAAAAACACTTACCCCATAGTTCTCTTTTAAGTGAGCAGCAAAATACAAAGGGTGGAATTTTATCATAACTGGAGCAAATAGAATCTGGAGCAGTTGCCCATGGCAACCTATCAGCTTCTCTCTTCAGTTTGTTAAGTTACTATTTGTAAAAGAGAGAAGCTGATTGGTTGCCATGGCTAACTTCTCCAGATTTTGTCTGCTCCAGTTTTGAAAAATTCTCCCCACGATGTTTTCCCCAGTAGAGACCTACAGTATATAACAATGTACCAGTAACGCCTGTTACCACACTGGGATAGAGAAAAAAATGTGTTGTTTTCACATTGGATCGACAAAAAAGTAATACAAAAGCTGACAGGATTCCTAAACTTCATCAGCTGATTTAAAATGAAAACATTTTGGCTGGGTTTGGGTTCTACATTTACACACAGAATGTATTTTGTGTGCACGGATGAATGAATCCAGTAAGGGGGATGTGACACTTTCTCTTGTGTTTTGGGCTGGGCGCATGTACCTGCATAGTACTGAGGAGATGATAGAATTGTTTGTACTGGCTCCTGTGCACTTACTTTTACCTTAGAACAGATCACTACAGCTCAGACATTTTGCACGCCCTGTGTTGCTCACTTCTTCTCCTTACACCCTCAGGGGAAAGCTAAGTAAGATTTTTCAGTATATAAAAAGCTAAGCAGCTGGTTTTTAATTGTACATTGTGCTATGTGAATGGGAACATGTAAGGAACATAAAGCAGGTATTATCCCATTTCGGCTGAAAAAGTGGAAATATACTTTAGGTCCATAGACGGTGTTTATATTTTGCCTGCATGATTTTTAAAAGTATATGTCGTACGTAATGCCGGACACCAGAAGCTGCCTGCTATTTTCTTAGATGCAGAAGGCACTTCTGATACAGGTACAGCAGCGGGCTGGTGGGTACAACCAAGCTCTGTCAGTGGCGTTTTGCCCCAAAGCTGGGAAAGTTCCAACTACCTTGCAAAGCTGGCTTTTAAGCATAATATTTTTAAATGGCTAAAAAGGTTCAACTAGTTACTTGTGTGCTTTACTTATTACCTAGCATCCCAGGAAGGTTTGGTTGAATCCCTTTGGGCTGTATAGTTATATTTGCTTCACTGCTTGATATCTTTTTACAGGTTCACCTAAAAAATACTGAAATCGAAAACACTAAACTGCTTACTGAGGTGCAGACACTGAAAAATTTAGATGCAAATAAGGAGAACTTAATTTCACACTACAAGGAGGAGCTTGGTAAAACGAAGCTGTGTTTGGATGATAAGGACAAGGTGTGCAAGGACCTGCTTCTGAACTGTGCAGAGAAGGTGGGAACAGCTCGCTGTGGAGTGGTAGACACTTAAGCTGTGTGTTTTATGTTTAGTCTGCTGAAGAGTATTTATTCCTGTATGTGAGCCACGAAGTCCTTCACTTTTCCACTGACCTTTGTACTACTACCTAGGAAACTATATGTTCAATCTGATGGAAATACAGGAACTTTTCCTATGCCAGTGAATAATGTTTTGGCACTCATTCTTTTACTTGTTCAGGGATTGCCACAAGCAGCAATGTTGTTTAGCATGGATAGAGCAATTGAGTGAAAACAAAGCTTGTATTCCTAGCTTTAGACCCAAGCTGTAAATGGAGATTTGACTTTTGCCAAGGCTATTACCTTGTCAGTGGCATAACCAGAGTTATGGGCGCCCGAGGCGGAAATTTTTCCGCCCCCAATATTATATACACATCCACTTAAATGCACCCCCCGCCCCCCCGGTTGTTACGCCACTGTACCTTGTCCAATGCCAGAGCATCAATGGGCAGTAGAGGGTCTGGCTTTTAATAGTCAAATTAAGCGAGTGGATGAGGCTTAATGCTGTGAAGTGCAGTTGATTCATCTTTGGCAAGAATCTCTATGCAAAGATTGTACCTAGAATGCCAGGAAGCTCCACAAAGACACCGGCATTGACTAGTAGTCTATGGTGCTTTTACTTTTAGCACTGTTGATACCTTAGGTCAGGATGCTTTTAAAACCTCTGTTGTATCATCTATTTCACAGTTGGTGGACTTTCAAAATTCATGACTTCTTTGTATTTATACTTCACAGGAAGACATTGGTTTAATAAAACGGCAGCTTCGTAAGATTCAAGATGAACATCAAGCCAGCAGACAAGAGGTTTCCTTCATGTCCAGAGAACTTAGTGATGCAGTAACTGTACGAGATAAAACCATGTCTGACCTGCATACATCACGCCTTGAGACAGAGAGTGTGAAGAAGCAGCTTGCTGATGCTTTGTCTGAGCTGAGCATACGAGACACACAGCGGCAAATGACTACAGTCTATGTGAAAAAGGAACAGGTATAATAAAATTAGGGTGACATGACATGTTAGACTGACGTTTTTTGTGTTGCATGAGGACGCCTTGTGGCCCCTTGACCAGTTTAAATATGTATGTTGAGTCAGGCCCCTGAGTTTTTAAGTTTTTATTTTCTTACATGTTTCCATTCAGTCAGGAAAATGTTTTCTGCTTTATCAACTTTACTATATATTTTTTGTTAGGACACAGAGACCGGCAGAGTGGAGCAAGAGCTTCGAAAAGAGGTTGAAGACCTGAAGTTGAGACTACAAATGGCAGCCGATCACTATAAAGATAAATTCAAGGAATGCCAGAAACTCCAGAAGCAAGTTGTAAAGCTCACAGAGCAGCTTGTAAGTAGTCTGTGTTAGTAAAGCTTTAAACTGCTGTTGTTTAAAGTGGTATGCACATCTGTGATCCGAAAGGGTTATTTCTGTAATGCCATGTTTTAATGTTTCTGCTTTGCTCTTCAGTCGTATCAAGTGTTAGTCAAACACTACAGCCTTTGCACCACATGAAATCATTGGCATTATGTCCACACTCCTATTCATGAGTAGAAAATACTGAGGCATGCATAAAATATATAGAAATTTGCAAATGCTTTGAGGTTTGCTTAATTTGTATGTTTTTCTCTTGTATATCAGAAGAATGCAGAAGAGAAACAAAAGGGGGTAGATGTACATGTGTTGTGTCAGGCAGCAAATACAGAGGCTTCAAACTTTTCTCCATCAGGTAAAAATGTGTTTATTTAGTAGATTTTTATACCATAGAGGTACACATATACTGTATGGTGATTTTGTAGTTTTAACAGTATCAACAATTAGCAATGTGTGTACAAAGTAACCATGTTGGTTCTAGGTATTCTTAAATATGACAGTTCTTGCAGAGCTTAGTACAACTCGCATGCTGCAGGCAATGTTTAGGGTGCACAGAACACTGAGAAGATTGCCAGTATAGGTCCACCATGGTGAGCTATAGACTCTCTAGCACACTTGTTATCACACAAATGCTTGGGAACTTGGAAGCATCCCTACACATCCGCGTGCAATAAAAAAAAGCTTGTGAGTGTGGGGCTTTGATCATATGCTATATTGGTATACTCTCAAATGCAGTATAAAAGGCCAGTAAATCGGGGCCTTTATCAGAAAAAAAAGGAGATGTATTTTTTTAAATGAAACTGGTAACTTGCGCTGCACGCCGTTGAAACATTGAATCATTCACACCAGTCCCTGCCCGAGTTGTGCTCATTATTATCTAATGTCTCTATCCCAGTCTTACAAACACGCTCTTTAGACTGTACAAGGAAATGAAACACCCAGAGTATTAATCTTAGGAGTCTACACATGTGAACACCCGTTTTATTTATTTCCCACAGTGAATCCATTTTCTTCTGACTGTGTACCAGAATTTGTGATAAAAGAACAAGTGGCAGACATGAGCAAAGAAATTGCAGAGAAAAGCGAAAAATATCTGAAATGCAAGCAAATGTTGGCAGTAAGTGACCCATCATATCTTACTACAATACTCTGCTAGTCATTATACATCTGAATTTGTGCTGCTCGAATCATCATACAGTAGAAAAACCTCCTCCATAGGCTATGCAACGATTGCTCTTTATTTATTGGATAGTGTTGTTTGCCACACGAAGGTATCCCTGTTGCTTTGCCAGAAGGTAATTTGTCACAAAACCAACATCATGTGATTGTGTTAAATCATAATTTAATCACAGATAAACATGCTGTTAGACCCCATTTACACGGGATGATCAGGAAGAGATCCATGCACGGATCCCCTCTTGATCGGAGCGGTATGCATCAGGTGTCACCGAAGTGACTGGACCTCATGTCTGTCTATGGGAAATCGGATGTAAACAGACATATGTCCGTTGACATCAGATTACCCCTGATCCAACATGATCAGGTTCGTCAAAACCGAACACTGCTCCTTTTGACCTGGCCGGAGTCGGAGGTAACTGGGTGTAAACGGATGCCCATCCATTTACACACAGATGCCCATTAACTAACATTGATTGGGTCCGCCTGAAAAACTGACACGTTGACTCGATCAGGTAGCCCATGTAAAGGGAGCCTACAAGCTACACAGAATGCAGTGCAGATTCTAGGTGTACAATGTGGCACCACATAAATGTTGACATGTATTACATATCCAATGAAGGGTTAATTGGACAACATTTTCTCCTTTTTGTTGCATAAGAAAAGCAATCTAATTTTAGTTGTCTCATTTGAAGCATTACATTGATTAGTCAGCAGGAACCTTGACACAAGTGAGCAGTTCAAAGCTCATTCTTTAGCATTTCGGTCATTTTAGGCTCCGAATACTGAATGAGACTCAGGAGATGAGCTACTACATGTCTGCATTCTCTGGAGCCTGCAACGCAGTTGGAATGTGATCTTGACAATGATCTTCCAGCTGTAGCTTTTTATGCTTGAGTAATCTGGGTGATTTTTTTTAGAAACACATTAAAATACTAGGCCAGTTTTTTTAATTTTAGTTGGTAATTCCAGTGAACATTTTGTTCTGCCCGCATCAGGGCTCTAGTGTGTACAGATCAGCCATGCCAAACAGTAAATTTATAATGATGAAGAAGCGACAGAAGATGCTTGAGGAGGGTAATTTAGTAAATGTCGATGGAAAAAGGAATGCACAGTAGGTATACGGGTAGGGAGTGTGAAAATGAAATGATGCTTTAGTTCTCATGGTGTTGTGCAGTTGTGCCTTGTCTTTATTTAAGATTAATTTGCTGGTATCCTGTGTTACAAGAGGCAATTGACACTTTCTTGTTTTCCCAGGAAGAAAAGGAGAAGTGCAGTGCTTTAGCTGATAGTGCTGGCAAGATGGAGGTAAAGTGGAAGGAACAGCTGAAAGTGAATGAAAGCATCAAGCTACAGGTAGCAGCTATTGAAGACCAGTATAAGGTATGACATTGGGCAGAACACATAGAGAAATTTCACGTTAGGAAATTTATCATCAAAGTATTGGACTTTGTGCACCCTGCACGGTGATTTCCTTTTCTTATTGCTAAGATAGTAATCCTGAAATCGTCTTGGTATATGAGTCAAGATCTTGGCAGGCTGCCATCCCTCTAATGCAGCCATTCTCAACCAGGGTTCAGTGGTGCCATAGGGTTCCTGCAGGGGTTGCATGGGGTTCCTTGAGAAATGAGCAATTTTAGCCAGTAAACACTGACACCCCTGATCTTTTTATCTATCTGTAAGGGGTTATTTTTCTCACCGGCTACCAGTGTAAGGAACATTTCTCATAGTGAGAACAGAGACCACTGACTTTCCACTGACCATTGTTTTAATGCTAGTGCTAGCATCCTGCCACCAGGTTCGGTGGTTGGAGGGGGGAGCTTGGAATGCAAGTTCCCGGGGGGTAAATGGAGGGGGTGGGGATGGGGTATTTTTTTACTCTTGGCGCACGTTCTGTAGGGGAGGGGAGGCTGAGGGGGTCAGTGCCGGCTGTTGTGGTGGAAGTTCTGGGTTCCACAGGGGGCAGGACGTGGGAGGTTCTTGGTGTCCTGTCCAGCTCACTGGTGTTACTGGTTGCTAGGAGCTGGGCGGGACTCCAGCCAGAGTGTCCCACTCAGCTTCTGGCAACCAGTGACATCAGTGAGCCGGGCAGGACGTGCCACCCAGAGCATCACGGGCTACTAAGAGCTCTTAGCAGCCCGGAACGCTCTGGCCAGAAAGGGGAATACAAGTGTGCCCCCCTCACGTGGCCCAGTGAGATGCCACCTGAGGCAACCGCCTTAGGCTGCCTCATAGGGATCCCCCTGGCTTTATTAACATTGGTCACCTGGAATACCTTACTATACTGAATATGATTTGCTTGAATTTTGTTTTCTACATTTTGTTGCTTCTGCAAATATTAACATGGTAAAAAATCAGGCTAAAGAAACACAAAACGTGAGGTTAAAGCTGAACTCCTTGCAGAAATAAAAACATTTGATCCAGTCACTTAACATTTGTGAAGAAAAAGTAATTAAATGCAATTGTACAAAAACATTGCTAAGTACCTAAATATATCTGGATACCATACATATGTGATTCTTGCAGAGGGGCTCTCAAGCAATGAGCAAGAGGGTCAACATGCTGGGCTAGTCACAGGGCTTTATTGCTTACACATTGCTGCCAGTCTCCCTTCCTCAATGTGTTTACAGGAGTAGAGTGTTCAGTGATGATCTAGTCTTTGTGCATTGTTCCTTTGTTGTTCATACAATTGGTTGCGGTTGTTTCTTGTGGCCAAGCTCTATTGCTTGACTACGGTGGTGAAAAGTGAGGTCACCAACCTGATTGTTGAACTGCCATGGTGGTCAGCTTTGAAAAACGTAAATCATACCCCTAGCTACATGCCAGTGAAAGAATATCTTCATTTCGCTGCTAACAGGGAACTGATCCCTATAGCATGAGTGTATATAAAAGAAATCATGTCTTACTAGGGTCCAAGCGATCAGTCGATATAAACTATTGGAGCAGTACAGAAATAGGCCTATAGTACCTGGGAATCGGAAACCTTATGTGTTGATGTGAAATTCTTCTGCATGATAACAGTGAGTCTCTTACTGCAGATTCAGTCAGCGGAGAAGGACCGGGAGATATCGGAACTCTCCTGCCATGTTGAAGTATTGCTAAGTGAAAAGGGCAGACTGGAGGACACTGTAAAGGTAAGAAGGTTTTGTAACTTTTATTTCACATAGAATGCTGTGACTTGGTTCAGTTGGAACACAGTAGGGATATCATGTACTAGTTTTCCACTTAGAGCAGGAGTAGGCAAATGCCAGCTGTGGTGCAACTACAAATCTCATAATGCCACTACCTTTGGAAGCCATGCTTGTGGCTGCAGAGCCTTGCAGTGCCTCATAGTATTGCACCACAGCTGGAGGGCTGGAGTTTGCCTATCTCTGACCTAGAGCAGCCTTTCTCAGTGTGCTGTGGTACCCTGGGGTGCCTTCTGGCTTTATCAGGGGTGCTTTTAAATTCTTGCTTAAGAGGAGGGACTCTGAATTGTAGTGAATTGCTGTGGCATCTATTACCGATCTTATGTGAAGCAGCCCAAATGCTAAGAACTTACATTGGATCGATTTGGTAAATTTTTGCTCATTTTCAGCATCCAGATCACAGCAATCTAGTCAAGCAACCTGCTAAGTAAAGCACTGCAGTGTGTAATTTCAGGCTAGGCCAAAATCACAATACATGCAGTCAGTATTTGTTTAAATCCACCACATGGTCCCTACAGGGCCCAACAACAAAGGGCAATACCTGCAGAAAACAGAGGCTCTATGCTCGCCTTTCTGGCTGCCTCTGTCTTGGAACGTCTTCACAATGCAGCTCTGCAAGTATTCGTTATTCGTCTAGCTGGGTAACTGGAATACCCGTCTTACCTGTCGCAAGCAGTGGTTCCTCCCACCTGACATATGTGGCGGGGGGAATTCACACATCCAGAAGTGTTGGATACCCACTGTGGCATTTTCAAAGCACAGATTGCTGGAAAATTAAGTTTAAGTTTTTTTTCTGCAGATATTTTAATTAGCATTTTTGGCCTTGTAGTGACAGGGTCACTTTAAATATGAGAAGATTAATGCTAGTTTTGCATTCTAGGAACTGGAAATAAATTTGGAAAGACTGTCGGAAAGGATGGCCAGTGGTCACACATTATCAGGAAGCAGCTCCCAGGGTTTACAGTTTTTCAATCCGTACTGTGAAGAGCACAGATCTGTTCCCATCATCCCAATCCAGCCACCTGTACTGCAGTTTGGAAATCCATATGCATCCCAGTCAGCAAGAGGTGAGTGGGTCATGGGCTGTGTTTAGCGTTGTCAGAGGATGCGGCTTATCAGACATTCTGTATTGCTCAACAGCAGCCAATCATATTCTTCCTTGTGTCTATTCCTATAGAGAAACTGTGGACAGCTTTATTTAAAGTTGTGTCCATCCTCACTCAGACATGGAGAGACTCGTTCTCTGTAAAAAATTTAATAGAAGTCAAGCTCTGGACCTCAATGGTCACATGATCCCAAAGCTCTGATGTGAATAAGATATAAACATACTGATATATACCCTGTTACCCCGAAAATAAGACCTAGTACTATTTTTGGGAATTGCTAAAATATAAGACCTACCCCGAAAATAAGACCTAGTGTGTTTTTTTGAGCCAAAAAAATATAAGACGCTGTCTTATTTCCGGGGAAACACGGTAATATACCTGATCTCTAAACTATGTAGATGCAGCAGGCCCTAGGGCAATAGCTAGAGTCAAGAGAAATGCAACTCTAAGCTGTAAAGATCTTCAGTACTTTGACTCAGGGACACGTACCCCGGAGCTAGCATATTAGGTCAAGAAACCTGCAGCAGTTTTGCGTTGTGTATGTCTCTCTTCCTCTCTCTCTCTCTGTCTCTCTCTCTCTCTCTTCCCCAACCAACTAATTGATGATGAGAATAGTTGCCAACTATTCTCATAATAGATTATTATCGATTTAGTCAATTAGTTGTTGCAGCTCTAGCATGTCTACGTCGTTCATTATATTTAACTATAGACTCCCCAGTGCACTGCCTTCAGTTTCAATTCACGTGACCTGGAACTAGAGGTCCAAAGTAATGTTTCTTACATTTGATAGGTGTTTTATCTGAGTTTAGTACCCCTACTCTGTGTTCCTAATGCCTGTCGGCACCTGCATTATAACCAAGTGTGCTATTTTATTCAGTGATGTTAGCGATAGTACACCTCACCACTATACCACTGGTGAAGATCAAAGCTGTGACGCTGTATGTATAAATGTATGGATTTGTGATCTTTGTAATACATATTTTTCTTTTATTGCATCCCTTGTTAATATACTGATATATTGGGTACTTAGATGGGGCAGATGGTGCTTTTAACCCAGATGACGTCCAGGGGCCTCCAGCACAGGCACCTTTATGGGAATATGAAAGCAAGGTAGTCTGCAGTCAGCCTGCTCGCAACCTCAGCCGGCCGGATGGCTTGGAAGATCCTGATGATAACAATCAAGTGAGTCCAACTTTTATGTTTTAACTAGTAATGGTATTTTGTTCTCATTTCGCCTGCTAATGTTTATTATGTATTACTGAAACAAAATAATCACAGAGCTTATTTTAGATGAACATTTAATAAGCGTGAAGTTTGTGTTTCTTTTGTAGTGCTGACTTCTACCCACAGAATAAATCCTCCTGTCTCAGATAGCACACAGCACCTTTGATCTGAGCTTGGATTTATGAATTGGCTTCAGTATTGTAGACAGAAAGACAAGGTAGCTAATTTAACAGGGGTAGCAATGTTCATCCTACTGCAAGTAAGACGCAGACTTGGAGACACTTGGCTTCTCTGTGCAGATGTTTCTCATCCCCATGTCAGCAGCTTAGATAAATCACTAGTACATGTCATTCTGATATTAATATACAGTTCTTTACATTGTTTCAATAAATAAAATGTGACCTCTTCTATTTTTTAAGAAATGAAACATAAGTGAGGCAGGATTTCAGTCAGGCAACTCCATACACAGTTGAAATACTTGCATGTGACCTGGCCTTGTGATTCACATACCCCTACACTCTGTGTAGCCAGGAAGATGACACCAGTTTTCAGTGTTGGAGTTTGGCAGCTCCCTGTGTCTACTACCTTCTCACTGGATCATAAAAGAGCATTCATACACTGTGTGTAAGCTGCCTAAACACCTTCCCCTTCCGCTCCCAGAGACTGTCATAATGTAGGCAAAGCATTAATACCCCAGTGCCTCGCAATGCATAATCTCCCAGCTGTCTCATATCTGCTGTTGAAGGATTGGTGGGAGGATAATCTAAAGCTAGATTCAGCCAGTTATACCAGCAGTAATGTTATGATACATAAAACTACATACTAAAATTATTTTTTTCACATTTGCCTGAAGTTGCATGGATTCCTGATTGTATCCCTTTGTTACATATATATGTATTGGTTAGGGACTTTAACCTTTGCTTTGACTTTAAATGCACAGCACTCTGTTAAGTGCAGGAAGGCATAAAAGATGACTAAGCGCCATGACATTGAGCTTTTGGGACTACAGTAGGGAAATGAAGTTATATGTTCTTAAAGGAGATGGAACATTGTGAATGGTTTGTTATGTTATGTAGAGCACTGAGGAATATGCCTCTGCTTAAAATATTGGGATCTTTATGACCCTTTCACATGGGCTGATCAAGAGGAGGATCACCTCCTGATCAAAGCAGTACCGATTGGATGTCACCGTTGTGACATCTTTCTCCGTCCAGTTTTTTTCCTCCATCTTGCGAGGGAGGAAAGAACTAAAACTGCCGGAACCTATGTCAGTCTATGGGGAAATTGATGTAAATCGACATATATACTGTTATGGAAAACCTTCCTGATCAAACATTGGTACGATTACCCCCAATCTGGCACGATCAGGTCCGGTGAAACGGATTTCTAATTCGTTTGACTTTCTGGACCTGGCCGGAAGCGGGGGTAACCAGTTGCAAATGGATGCCCGGTCCATTTACACCCAACTGTCCATAGACAAGCATTGGGCATCCAATTGGGTCCACCTGAAAGTGACAGGTTGACCCGATTGGACCACCTGTGTGATAGGGGCCTAATTCAGATAGGCAAAATCTGTACAGTGATGGATATGCCAGGGTAGAGACAACACACTCAGTGGAACTAATTGCTTATACCTTCCTGATCAAACATTGGTAGGATCTCTTATCTTACACAGAGCGTGCACGGACTTCCAAGATCTTTCCTAAATGTAGGAGGAGTTTTCTGTAACGGTACAGGATGGTATCCATACACTACAGGAGTTCATCTGATTAGCAGGTCTGGGAATTTTTGGCCAATCTTCATTATCCTCTGACTTTGTGGGCACTGCATGTCCCTATATATAATATACGATCAGGTAGAGGTCATTTCCTGACATGCAGCGGCTTATCTCTTACATGATGAAATTTATAGTGGGACCAGAATGGTCATTTTGTTGCTTGAAAAGTTTGATAACAAATTCCACTGCTCCTCGACCGGTCTCACAAATGTACTAGTCGGATAACCTCTTTTGGCACAGTTAGAGTATTGATAATTGTGCCATGGCTATACAGTGCATGGTACATCAAGTTCTCTTTTTGATTCCCTAAATTAAATTGAAATGTCATTGTGTTTGTTAGATTTGCACTTCTACATTTAGACTGGAGGCCCTCTTGAGCTCCGCAAAATACAAGAGATGAGAGATACTTATCTGTTGAATAGTGTGCTCTTTGCATTACAGTGGTTCCATGACCTGTTCCTCATTTAGTCTAGTTTGCTGTGTTTAATTGCCATTAACCTTTGTAGAAAGTGATAAGTTCTTTGACAGCTATGATAATAGCCATGGCACCCGGCACCCATAATGGAGAAAACAACCATTTCTCCCTCCTGCTTCACGTCCCTTGTGTCTCTGATTGAAGATAATTAGGAGGCCTGTCAGGAGTTTTTTTTCCTTTGCCAGTTTTGAGGTCTAAAGTGTTTTCTCAGTAATGCCACCCACCTTTACCTCATATTTTGCATATTGTCTGCTCCCACCGCTGGCAGTAACATTATACATGATGGGAAATGCTCTCCTTTAGTCAGTGGGGGCACTTTAATTAGCCGCATGTTCATCACTGACACCAAGCTGCCTTTGTATCGGACAAAGCCTGCTACAAAGAAATATATTTGCATGAGCCATGTCATTATATAATTTAATATGTAAACGTAAAGCTGAAATGTGAACCCCCCCCCCTCCAAAAAAGTGTATATTTGTGGCAAAAAAAACTGAGGCTAGCTGGTGGACGTGGGTTACAGGAGGGGATGGCTTACAATGTTTCTGTTTCCCAGTGTCTCAATCTCCTTTAGGTAGCAATATACCCAACTTTTTTGAATGCTGGTGTTGTCCCTCTATAGACAGTAGAGAAAAAGATATGTGTATGTATACATGTACATAAGTATGTGCGTATATCTATAGTGCCATCTGCATGAGGTTGATACATTGCAGCTATCTGGATTGGCAGCCCCTTAGTACAAGCTTTGGAGGTCAAACCCTAAACCTGCTGGACTGGATGTGCAGGGCTTGCTTGGCATGTGGCCTCAGGCATTGGGCTCTGCATTGTGGTGCTTTCCAGACTCTGTCATTATTTGGGTACAGTGCTGCAAAGCACCTTGTGGATCTCCCAGTTTGTTTCTATTGCCTGCCTATAGCAACCTGATCACCTCTGGCTGCCTGAAGCCCTCATCACCAGCTGCCTGAAGCCCTTATCACCAGCTGCCTGGTTGTGTCAGTACTCGAGACATTACTTCACATTGAGCTTAGTTGCTTTTCTGCTGTTTGGACGCAACATTTCTTTACTAAGACGCACACAGGACAGTCACACTGCCACAGGAAGCTCATACTCCCCTAGTGGTTCTGGGGGTGTTTGCTTGGTATCCGCAAAAGGAACTGAAGCCCAGAATATGGGATATTATTGTTATAAGATATTCCTTATCGGAGCCCAACAGCTTTGTCGGGTACAATACAGAACTTCAAACATTACGCCACATTATTAAATCTAATAATCAATCTGTACTACTATTTGTGAGGACTTAGAGAAGTCCTTCCTCTGACTTGTCCATAACTTGCGCCATCCGTGTTGTCACTTCAAGCGCCAAGTTCCTGTTAGCGTCTGTATGGGGGTGCGGGTGACTTCTTGATATTTGACTTCCTCTAACTTGGTCGCTTACCCATATTAAAAATACTTGGACATTTACCTACCCTCTCACTACCATGCAGTGCCACCTGCAGAGGATAACAGACTGGCATCTTCATAACAGGGCGAAAGCTTGGGTATCTATATAAGGTTGGACCTCTCAACCACTAACTACATTTCCGTGGACCTCCCCTGAAATGACCCTGCCCCAAATTTACGAACACCCCCTAATTGGAGCTACCTTGGCAGTTCTCAAAAGACTCTGAAGAAACCCAACATTCTCCACACAGTAAAGCCTCCTTACATCTTGGAAATGAAATAAGGATCTCCTAACACTGCTAAATGTTTTTAGATACTGGATTGACCCATGTCCACTCACCACTGGTTTTTTCTTTGAGAAAGGAAGCTTTCCTCCCTGGTCAGAATTGGGGAAATGGGCAGTAACAGACAAACAACCTTGGTGGACCTCTTTTCAGATCACTTTTTGACATGTATCCGATTACCAGAGATCCCTCACACTATCTGAAAAAACTTTCAGGGGACCACAGAATCCTTTTAATATTATGGCCCTTCTCCCTCCTAAGGTTTCTGGATAATGCTCAGGGCCAGATCTTTAAACTAAGTTGGGAAAAGAAAAGGTTTTCTTTTTGGTGCTGAAAACCAGTCACTCTGCAAAAGATTTGCCCATTTGTTGTATATTCCATAATGACAAAGGATCTCTACCACACATCTTCTGGTTTTGCTCAGAAATATTGGAAAAATCTCCACCTCTCTGATATCACATACCAGTGGAAGCTCAATTGCTTCCCACCAGCTTACCTTCTGCATGGAGATACTGGCTCTGCTCAAGCTTCAACTGGATTAGGCTTCTCAGATGGTTAGCGTTGGTAGCCGTGGCTCACCGTTGGGCTAGTGTATTATGCTCAATTGACTCCTTACTTATCCGTCTGGAAAATTCTCCCTCCTCCACCTTCCATGAGTTGTAGGGTGCTGAAGGAAAACTCTTCCAATGTGGTCTCCTTTTTTCATTGACTCTGTTCTCTTTAGCCTCCCCTTCTATGTCTAGAAAGCCTTGACTTAGGGTGAGGCTTCTTGATGGGGTAGCCCCACTGCAAGGGTTAAGATTTTTTGAAATTAGGTTCTGCCATGACTCCTGTGCCACTTCATGCCATGTTCAGGTGGTAGAGGTGACCACATTAGCACAGAGAGCCATGTACACTCATAATGGCTCCATGCAGTTTGTAGCCCACAAGACTAGTAGCGCTGGGACAGGTAATGTGATCATAGGATAATGAAAACATCATTTTTTTTCTTTTCGTTTGGTATTTATAGTTGAAGTTTTCTATAGAATTGTTAGCTTTGGTAATCAGTCCACTTTAATGCACATACAGTACATTGTGAATGTAATAACAAGCATTGGCGATAGTAGGTTGGAATTAATTGGCCATTATGATGCCGTGTAAGTGGACGTTCCGGGCTAGTGACACGGTGTTCCCTGTGCTGGCCGTGATACTCATCAGTGCGCTGCAGATACATTCATGTGGTGCTAGTGCTGCTGAAACAAAAGCACAGCTGACAGGGCTGATGATATGCTGCAGCCTCGTCCTGACGGGACAATTTAAGTGATGCGGCTGAGTGCAGTGGACACGAGTGACATGCTTGGCTGACTCGAGCTCCATGTACACATCACTCAATGCTGGGCCGCTCATGTCAGCTGGCTGAGGGGGGAGTTGGGATGTGACAGCCCTTTACTTATACACACATTTACACGCTGATGTGATCGAATACTGTTTAGCCGCGTGCGTTATTCCATACAGATCCACACAAATCCTTCTGGAATACATTGTTTCTTGTCAACGTTTGCTTTGCTTTGCCAAGATTGATTTGTGTTTCGTATTCTTCAGAACTCCATGCAGTCAGTGTAAGCCTGCCCCATGGTCCTTCTCTGTGTAATGTTGAGCGGAAGCAGTCATCCAATCTGAACACAGCCTGTCCGGTCACTAGGAATAGCTGACATCACCATTAATAGAAGTGATTCTACAGGCTGGTTATTGGCTCAGCCTAAATTGGGGTCTCCATTCTACACGGCTGGCGGTTGCAAAGCAAATTTCTTTGGCGTGAGGTAGAACGGGGCTTCTGAGGTGTGTATGATGTATGTCTGGTATCTTACAACCAAATTGACACTGGCCATAGAAATGCTCTGACTCTCTTGTGGCTCTGAGCAGCACGGGCAGCTTATTCATTATAGATACTTTAAAGAACCAACATATTTGGGCAGATGTATAAACACATTGGGAGAATTCATAAAAACTGGAGCACACAGTATCTGGAACAGTTGCCCATAGCAACCAATTATTTTGTCTTATCTGTTTGCTTTATAAATGAAAGCTAGAAGTTGATTGGTTGCCATGAACAACTTGTTCAGATTCTGACTGCTCCAGTTTTCATTCATTCACTTATTAGGTCTTATGACCTGCCCTTTGATAGACATGAGGGGGCTATATACATGTCTGTGTTAATGCTCCTGCAGGGCCCAACTACTGCAGCCAAAGTGCAGTTGCTCTCCTCCGCATATATGTAATGCCATAAATCCGTGACTTGGGGTGCTTCAAGGCCATACCTCTTTAAGCATGCACCCCAAAATGGTACCCTACTGCCGCCTGATGAAATGGCATTGCATTGAACCCTTTTTCTGAATGTAAACATTTGATGATAACTAAAGAATAACTGCTTAGAAATTAGTGTTTTACTTACTTGTTACCCAAGTACAAATTTTCAGAAATGGTCACATGACTTTTTCCTATATCTCCACACCTCATTGTACAAGAATGGGGTTGAAATCACTGAGTGTGATGTGTCCTGCATACATCACATGTTCTCTTCTTTATCCCCATGACCGCATGATGCCAATTGGCAGGTAGATGAAGAATGGTCAGCTGGGGCCGCTGTTGCTCTTAATGCTGGATTCACCCCGCAGGCAGAAGAATGGTCAGCTGGGGCCGCTGTTGCTCTTAATGCTGGATCCACCCAGCAGGCAGATGGTCAGCTGGGGCCGCTGTTGCTCTTAATGCTGGATCCACCCCGCAGGCAGAGGAAGAGCATCAGGCAGGGAGGTTCCAGAAATGGAAAATAGAAAGTGAATGGCTTCATTCAGGGGAAGTGCTCGGGCATGTGCAGTAAGATGCAATGGAATAGCATTGGCATTCTAAAGGAGGGGGACATACCAAGGTCAGACAGGTATGTACCAAATACGATTGGCGTTATACAGTCATAAAACAGTACACAACAAGAGCTATTAAATTAAGAGCCAATGACCCCTACAAATGTTCATGGTAAACTATGTGTGAACCAGCCATGTGCAGAAGTAAAGGCAAAGATCAGGAATGTTCAAAAGTAAAGTTTAGATAACTTTTTAAACAAACTACAGATCTAATTTTTCATTAAACATGCGTAGGCCACTTTGCATGATCCAGGGTAGGTTTGTATCAAACTGTAATGTGATTGGCTCAGCCAGCTGAGGATTTTCTTTGTAAATGTTCCACAAAATCCAAAGTTATTCAGAAAAGGGCGGAAGACAATGAGAGGTTTTGCTTAACATATGATATGTAGAGTACAAATAATGATTTTATGTCTTTAACCTTTCCTCAGGATAATGATGACATGAACTTTCAGCTGGACCAGGATCCTCCCAGCTACCCCGGACAAGAGCAATCTGGCTTCTGCTTTGATCCAAGGTAATGAGCTGCTGATTATATACAGAAGTATTGTGCTGGCTTTGTCTTACATTGCTCAGGGAAAGATACATTTTAGATCTCCTCTATATGTTCAACATTAAAGCTTATTTCATATGATTTCCATTAACTTACCCAATCCTAAATACAGTTTGTCAAATGGCTGAAAAATGTGTATCAGATTCACCAGTTCTAAGAAGGATTCCTGATTATCACTCATGTGCCCAGCTCCTAGTTATACATGGGCATATCTTTCACAGATGGTATCCTGTGCAGTATGCTGGAGAAGGGCCAGTTCTCTGGTATTTAGAGGGAAACATGGCCAAACATATTGCCTGTGATAATGAGCACATTGGCCAATTACAAGTCCCGTTTATCACTCAGGAGAACCTCTATGCAAGCTCAGCTTAAAATGGTCACCGTGCTTACATGGGTCAGTGTAAGGTCATTCCAACTGTACACAGTGCAGCTGAATGTTTGCCACACAGCAAACAAGAAATTCTCACATATTCCCTGCTACTCATTAAAGATACCCAAGAGTACCAGTAGGCATGGAGGACTGCTTCTGTGTATAGCAGAAAGTTGGAGCGATACCTTTAGTTGGCTGACCTAAGTTAATAGAAATTTTAGCCGTTAGGATGACTTGGATCCCTACGTCAGGTTTTGAAAGCGTGTATCTTTAGTAGCAGATCACTTAAAAGAGAACTATGAGCAAACATTTTTTGGCTTTAGTTCTCTTTTGGGTCACAGGAGGACATTTACTAATGTCTTCCGGAGCCCCAAAACTTAGCCTATAGTGGGCTACTGCCTGCTATAAGCTAACAGCGCAGAAGTGCGCTGCAGACAGGAAATATCCCGACTATTGACGGGTTCCACCCTACTGCCTGATTGACACTCCATAGCCAGAGCCAGCGGTGCCCACCCCCTCTCCTGACTGTCCCTCCAATAAGCGCTGGAGCGTTGACTGACACTGGCAGGGAGCGTTGACTGACACTCGCTACTCTCTGCAGGGTGATCGAGGAACTGAGTGACCAGTGGTATGTGATCGCTCAATTCTCTATAAATAGGGCCGACATAGGACAGCTGCAGTGTCACACGTCAGCTCTAACATAGTACAAGACTCTACTACTGCCTCTGTGTAGACAAATGCACAGAGTCCGCTGTCTTCTAGGCTCTAGTTGTCTGGCACAGAGTCCGCTGTCTTCTAGGCTCTAGTTGTCTGTAATTCTTGTACTTTGGTTTTCTCTTTCAGGTACACCATGCAGAGGAAGTGTCCACTGTGCACTATGGTGTTTCCACCAAACTATAAGCAGAGCCACTTTGAGGAACACGTGGAGAGTCACTGGAAAGTATGTCCTATGTGCAATGAGCAGTTTCCTCTGTACTGCGACCAGCAAGCGTTTGAGCGCCACGTCCAGACACATTTCGATGGCAACATCCTAAATTTTGAATAGGCTTGGTCTGCTCAGTGTATAATGTTGTAGCATGGTGAAAGGCTTACCTTAAAAGTGAAAATAAACTGCTTAAAGCAACAGCTCCAGTCTGCACTGTACACAACTGCTCTGCAATATAACTAGCTGTGTATAAACTGCTGGAGGCGTTTGATCATCTCTTATTATGTAACTTTATGGTAGAGGATTTCATCAGTATTTCTCAGGCCTGTGCCGAGATCGCTCTGTACTTTGTACATTTAGAAGCATTCTTCCTTTTGAATCTTTAGCCATTAAAGATATGAGTGAGGTCTAACGGGGATTTCCATTCCTGTGCTAGAATGTTGCATGTCTTTTACTTTTCATTTTGTGTTAATCCTTTCAGTAATTGTGGACTTTGCCTGGCATAGCAGATCTTCTTCTTTTTAGTGCTTCTCTTCTTGTAGCAGTTACATGAACTTCATGTTCACACTTCATCTGCACACACTGGAGGCTGCGAGACCCAAGAGGGAGACGTACAAGTAGTTTTCTTCTGAATTGTGGTCAGCCCAGCTAGTCCATTTCTACAGTAGAAGAGGCTTACTGGTCTGCTAGGTTGTGATTTGGTGGAAGACGTCTTCAGATTTCAAAAAGACTGCTTACGTGTCGGTGTAACAATATCAATGACTAAACACAACTTAAATATTGTTAATATATGAGGAAAGAGGGCAGATTTGGGGAAATTCTGTGTTAAAGGGGATTTTCACTTTGCTAAATTTTGCACATCCAGCTAAGCTCTGGCCTTCTAGGAAACGTTGGGATTGGCTGATAGCGGGCATGGCTGGATTACTGGGGGAGTTGATGGATAGTTTGCCAGGTTAGGAGTTTTCATCAAGCAGAGAAACTCCCAAGTACTGCTTGCTGCAATATTCCAACATTGAATGTCTAATTCCAATAATTTATACAAAGATAATACATTTGTCTTGGCATTGTATAAAACCTTTTATTTCGTTTAACATAAATTATAAAAATGAACTTTGTTAAAATGTCTTTTGGTTGCACAATTTCTTCCTGTAATCTTATTTTAAATAAACACAATATTGTGAAATGTTTCGATATCGTCCTTCAAACGCACATTCAAATGATTCGACTCGTTTTTATTAGAGGTGCACTGAAATAGAAATGTAAAAACCGAAACAAAACCGAAATAAATAACATTGTCAAACGGAAATTTTAGCCATTAAAGATATGAGTGAGGTCTAACGGGGATTTCCATTCCTGTGCTAGAATGTTGCATGTCTTTTACTTTTCATTTTGTGTTAATCCTTTCAGTAATTGTGGACTTTGCCTGGCATAGCAGATCTTCTTCTTTTTAGTGCTTCTCTTCTTGTAGCAGTTACATGAACTTCATGTTCACACTTCATCTGCACACACTGGAGGCTGCGAGACCCAAGAGGGAGACGTACAAGTAGTTTTCTTCTGAATTGTGGTCAGCCCAGCTAGTCCATTTCTACAGTAGAAGAGGCTTACTGGTCTGCTAGGTTGTGATTTGGTGGAAGACGTCTTCAGATTTCAAAAAGACTGCTTACGTGTCGGTGTAACAATATCAATGACTAAACACAACTTAAATATTGTTAATATATGAGGAAAGAGGGCAGATTTGGGGAAATTCTGTGTTAAAGGGGATTTTCACTTTGCTAAATTTTGCACATCCAGCTAAGCTCTGGCCTTCTAGGAAACGTTGGGATTGGCTGATAGCGGGCATGGCTGGATTACTGGGGGAGTTGATGGATAGTTTGCCAGGTTAGGAGTTTTCATCAAGCAGAGAAACTCCCAAGTACTGCTTGCTGCAATATTCCAACATTGAATGTCTAATTCCAATAATTTATACAAAGATAATACATTTGTCTTGGCATTGTATAAAACCTTTTATTTCGTTTAACATAAATTATAAAAATGAACTTTGTTAAAATGTCTTTTGGTTGCACAATTTCTTCCTGTAATCTTATTTTAAATAAACACAATATTGTGAAATGTTTCGATATCGTCCTTCAAACGCACATTCAAATGATTCGACTCGTTTTTATTAGAGGTGCACTGAAATAGAAATGTAAAAACCGAAACAAAACCGAAATAAATAACATTGTCAAACGGAAAATGTTTTTTATTTAAATTTTTTATTTTTTTATAAACTTTTTTTCATTTTTATTATAATTATATTTTTTACTTTACATTTAGGGGCTTCGGGGAAAAATTAGGGGTCTGAACTGACCCCCGATATTTACCTTTTTAAAATAGAAAAAGAGATTGAGAACACAAAATCCTCAATCTCTTTTTCTGTGTCCCCTGTTATCAATGAACATGAATCCTCTGAGTGTTCCTGTTCATTGATAACATGAGGACATTGTGTGTATACTATAACTACAACTATGAATGAACAGGAGGTGATGCAGATCGCTCCCATTCATTCATAATTGAGGATATAGTACACATACCATGTACTCAATTATGTACATACACTCAGCGATCACTGAGTGTTTGTACTTGCTCTCCTCTCTGACACGCTGACACAGGAGGCTGAGCGAGAGGAGCAGGCAGGAGAGCCCAGTCTCCTGTGACAGCGCTGTCTCCGCCCCCACACCGCTCTGCCCGACTGTGATAGGAGGCTGAGCGGTGTGGGAGGAGACGCCGGCCGCTCACAGCGCTCGGCCCGCTGTCACTTTCTCTCCTCCCCGCTGGGACACAGAGCTAGTTTTTATAATGCTGGTATGCTTTCCATAGATCATTACACCATTGATATCCGCCCCTCCCATCGAAGGAGCTGACAATCTAGTGTCCCTGTCACATGCATGGACACAGCGGTGGCAGAAATAAACCTATTTCGAATGTTTTTGGACTGCAGACAGAGGAAGGATCCTGTAAGTTTTATGTATAGAAGCTTGAACATGTTAATGTCATCTCGGAGGTCATCTGCAGCTTTCATTGACAAACCATTTACAGTGTTGTGTTTTAACCACACATGCTGATGTGCTAAAACACGTGTCATGGTTCCCCATAATAAGAAGTGTCTGTTCCCATTTCAGAGCCGGAGTGCAGTGCATTTCTAAAAAGTTGACATGCCCCGTTATTTTTCCCCATCATTTTAGTGCAATGGGAGGCCCAAAGAACTTAGTGGCAATGCTTCAAAACACTTGTAACATGCTTTTTGATGTGTTGGAAAATGGTATTAAAAAGCCTGGGCCAATGGCTGTTAACTCTGTGCACTCCAAAAAGTAATTAAAAAAACGAATATCAATGCACAGAGGAATATCACATTGATGCATGGCAATGCACCTGCCTAACCCTAAAAAAAATGCACTTCTACACACACACACACTCTATCGCTTAGTGGTTAGCACATCTGCCTTTCAGTACTGGTTCGTATCCCACTCCTGTCTAAACTGGCCCTGTATGTGTGTGCAATAGGGGCCCTGGGCTCCATTCACACTCTATATTTTCGGTGCACACCGCATGTAATGCTATGTGATCTGACTACAAGTGGTTAGGAATCGGTCACTATCCCTGGATGCTCAATCCCTGAAAACCGCAAGTTCCTGACACAGGAATTCCTAATCGCGCCTAAACTTACCGGTGTGAATGGGATTGTAAGCTCCTTGAGGGCAGGGACTGCTGTGAATGTGCGCTATGTAAAGCGCTGTGTAAATTGTTGGCGCCATATAAATACCTGTAATAAGTAAGTAAATCCTGTTCTGAGGGTCCTTGTTCAGACACTTCCAGTAATGGGGGGAATCCCAGTAATGCTTCTCCTGTCGCATAACCCTGATGGAGGCTACAAATGGCTGCACCAACGCACATTGCACAGGCATGTTCCATTGTTCCCACCGTTAGGAAGCCGGTTCAGAGCAATGATGAGCATCAGACACTGGAGCAACTGTATGTAGACAGGAAGTGATGAAGGAGGCTGCAGGAAATCAGCAGTACTGAGATACAAATAAGAAAATATTTCATGAAAAAACTAGTTTCTGATGAACTTCTTTAGCGGCAAAACAATCAGTTTTGGGTTTCCATCTACTTTTAATTTACTTTGTTTTGGGGGGAGGGGGGTAGAGTAGAAAAGAGCTACAACCTCTGTCAGGCTATTGCTGTCTCTGGGTCCCCACTGAGTAGATGCATTCTTTCTATGATGACCATTATCACCAGGACTAAGTGAGAGGAAATCCAAACTTTTGAATTGTCCCCATAACAGGAATATAAGGGAGATCTTCCAATGGGGACAACTGACTAAGAGGGGATTTCTTTCACTTTGGGGAACTCTGCTTTCACCTCTGTGTACAGGACAGGAAGCGAAGGGAAATCTTTTAATGAGACACAGATAGCAAAAACAAACACACGGAAAAAAAATAAACTGGTCAGCGGCATGGCAACCAGCGGCATGGCAACCAATCAGCTTCTAGCTTTCCTTTTGTAGAGCTTAACTGAACAAGATACAAGCTGATTGGTTGCCGTCTAAAGCTGCTCCATGTTCTGTCCCAGTATTCGTACATTTCCCCCATTGCACTTACCTGTTTGTGATGCAGGAAGCGCATTCTCAAACACTTGCGATCTCTCACATAGAAAAAGCTGTTGTATCAATGTGCGAGGCTGGATTCACATCATTTGTTGCGTGATTGCATTAAACACGATTGAGTTGACATGCATTTTCCTCTG